GTGAGCTCTCCCCCCCCAAAATACCCTGTTTGTCTTTTTGTAACTGAGTTACCTCACTCAGGATGGTTTCTTCTGGTGTCAACACCTTGACTCCAGCAGATCATGCTTCTACATTTTTTAAAATAATTTTTTGGGAATTTATTTGCCTGAATTCTGAGCGAAACAATATCCCCACTCAAATTCTTTCTGTATCCAACTATTGCTCACTCTCAAGTACATGAATTCTTCCACTTTAATTATATACTTTACTTAATCATATACTTTACACCCTCTCTCTTCATCCACCCTCCGTGTGTGTGTGTGCGTGTGTGTGTGTGTGTGTGTGTGTGTGTGTGTGTGTGTAACATTTGGCTCAGTTGGTGGTGAAAGAAAGGCAAGTGTTTGAGGATTCACAGAGCAGAAGGATGTGGATTGAAGGAAATAGTCCCACTGGATGTTTTAGGGAAGTCACAGAAGAGCTGGCAGTACCTTTGTGATGGAGAAGAGCAGGTCTATATTGTAGGTGAGGAAGGTCAGCTCTGGAGGAGCAAAATATTAAATATGGGTAATCAAATTGTGTTTTAGCCATTATTTAAATAATAATAATCTCAGCGTTTACATTCTAATAATAATTCTATTAATTTTTTGAATATCAGTCTTAGATCTTTATGCCTCATATGATGTATCACTACCTATAATTCTGCAAAATCTTGTTAATTCAGTTTAATGAATGCACTCATTATTCACTGACCCATTTCTTAATGATTATATTTTAGTTTTCTTTCTCTGAATTTCCTATGAACTTATTTAATAATTTAATCAAAGACAGGAAAATAGTTTATAAATACAGAGAGTAATAAAGTAAGTCTGAAGGCTGAAAACTTACATTTCTAAGTAAAAACTTAATTACTTTTTCTACCATTCCTTCTTTCTTCTCTATCCCACCTGATAAACAGTTTCGAACAGAATAAGTATAACTCAAACCTCTTATTCCCTGCCCCACCATCTTGCTTATCATGGAATCTTGGAAATAAGGATAAGGCTTCAAAAATACAAAACAACATGCTACCAACTAAAGATATGCACTAGGATAATAAGTGATACTTTGGTGTTATAAATGACACTTTGTTCTTTATTTCATCTCTCAGATCAGCATTATTATTTATCCTCATCGAGGTACCTGCCCCTGAACTCATGATACAACAGGACATCATGCAATTTATATTCTTCTCTGCCCATGAAAACCAGGCCTGAACCTCCAGTTCTGACAGAGACAACCAATTTGGACTCACAGGTCTTCCCATTCAGTGGTTATCACTGAGCACACAACATTCACATGAATTTCAGACTGAGCTGGCTTTTCCTTGCTGCTCCTTCAAGGATAATTTATTGATAAGGAGAGATATTAAATATTTGGGCAAATATAAGTTAAAGGGACAGTAGATATATGCAGCAATTTACTTAGAGAATTCTCTGTTTTTAGGCATCCAGTGTGAGCTGCAGCTGATGGAATCAGGAGGAGGTTTGGTGCAGCCTGGAAGGTCCCTGAAACTCTTCTTTGCAGACTCTAGCTTCAGCTTCAGCAACTACTACGTGCACTGGTTCCATCAGGCTCCATGGAAGGGGCTGGAGTGGATTGGTGTAACTAAATACAGACCTAGTAATTATGCAACACAATATGGGGAGCCTATGAGTGGCAGATTCTCAATCTTAAGAGATGACTCCAAAAGAAGCATCTACCTGCAATTGAACAACCTAAGATCCAAAGACAGTGCCATTTATTACTGAACTAGACAATGGGAGAGGATGTCAGTGTGAACCTAACAAAAGCCTCCTATTAAGAGTGTTCTGAACCAGCAAGGGCAAAGATCACACATGGAAGGGATGGACAGCAGAAACATATGCAAACATAAATGAGTGCTGATTAAGGTGATCACAGCTGTCTCCTAGTCTACTGATTTCTCAGGATGCTCTCCATATTTAATGGTCTGTGAATTCTGTGATAACAGAGCTCTTTCTGGCATAATTTAAAATATATACATCACACAGTCTCACGTGAAAATAACTCACCTCTGATACCAGAAATGTTGCTTGTGATGAAAAAGAATCCAGGGAAATCCTCTGTGGTATTTCATTAGGACAGTGCTTGGGATTAGGGGAGACACAAGGTAGATGAAGACACACTCAGTGACCCGTACACCCTAACAGTTCTCAAGTCTTCTGCCTTTTCTAAGAACTGTGCATATTAAGCAAGGATGTGACCCATTTATATTTCCCCTGATGCAGTTACTTAACCTATAACTTTCCTCGTAGTTTGTCCTATTAAATTTTGTTCATCTAACGTCTGGCCTTTGTTCTAAACAGACATGACCCACTAAATTAAAACTTATCTGATACCTAGGTTGTAACTCAATGGGACTTGGGAATGATTATCAGTGAATGAAAAAAGGAAAGAAAAGTTAAAGGAAAATGACTGGTCCCAGGAATGGTGGCAGAGAAAGTTTATTAGAGCTATGTGGGAGGCTACACCAGGAGGCAGGTACATTGGGGAGAGTCCAGAGTGGATATTACATTAAGTCATGTGATGAGTGGAGTGTTACAGTGAAGGGAGGGATCGCAGCGGAAAATTGTGAAGCAGCCAGGAGCCCCAAACGTGATATGAAAAGCAAAAGGTAACTAAAAGAGTTAGACTATATGGAGACCTGAAGGTGGGAGAAGAAAGTCCAGGCTCTGGATACCAGCCAGGAGGACCTTTTAACAGGCAGGGGCTAAGGAAGGCAGGGGAAACTGGTGGCCCACGTCTGCTTTGATATTTTAAATAGGCACCACAATCATTCGTCCCGGCTTTGAAACCTAATATCCTGTGCTTTTATTGATAATAAACAAATGATTAGAAGTCATGTGAAATCTTCTCTATGACTACTTCCAGCTGACACTGAGGCACCATTGTTGGGTGGTGTAACGGTCAAATGTAATTGAGTCCATGGAAGCCCAGATAATGGGAGGTCAGGTATTTATTTGGGAATCACACATGAATAAATATAAAAAGGAAGAGAACTACTGAGGTCTTCTGCCCAGAAGCTGCTACCTTCCCAGTCTGCATGTAGACCCTGTGACTCTATAGGAAGTGAGTGGTACCTCAAAGACTATTGGGTGGATGAGTTCCCATAACAGGATGGGGACAAAAGAAACTGGAATGCTAGCCCTGTCCAGGATGACCAGGGTATCAGGAATGTTCTAATGCTAGATACATGTGGATATCAGTTGGAGAAATTTGTGAGGCAGGACCACCTGGAGTGAGAGTCACTTTAAACGTGTCCCAGGATGCAGATTTTGAGGAAACACCTGGAGGTAGTGGATGGAGCAGTCTGCATTTGACTTTAAATATGATGCAACAGATAGACTAGGTAGAAGGGTAAAATAATAAGTTTAGGGAATTTTTGTCTGCATGTGCATTTGAAAACTTTAGGCCCAATATCTGATAATTGAGGCAGTGTAACCAAAAAGTGGGGAGAGAGAGAAATACAGAAAGGGCCATAGAGACAGAGAGATAGAGATACAGAGACAGAGAGAAGAGAGAGTGTATGTGTGAAGGAAATCCAACCATCAGGTATAGGGAACATAATCAGGTGTTCCAGGGAACAGAGAAAGGCAGAGGTGGACTGAAAGCTACTCTGACTGAGGGAGTGCCTTGGTTTATCAGGAACTGGAAGGCACACAGTGTTCTAATGTGAAAACCTCTATGATGTGCCAATCAAGGCAACTATACTAGACCAACTCCAAGACTGTATGCAAAATATGATGGGGCTAGAAATAACTAGATGATTAATTTTCGAAAATATAGTGACTTAGCCTGCCATAATTCTCTGTAGTCAGTCGGTAGTAGCAGTGGTTAGTGAATGATCTGGACCCAACTGCCAGCAGGTAAGACCCTGATGTGAGAGGAATATTAGTAATGATAGAGACACCACTTAAAAATCAGTCTCTGCCACATCCATTCAGTGTTTCTATAAAAACAATAGCCTTTATCCCTGAAACTGAGCTCTCTGAACACTGAAGCAGCATGTGTTACTGCTCAAGCTAACCTGTGAAAATTTCAGGTAAGCCAAGAAGTTCCAACTTGCAGTGGTGGTTAGGGCCAGCAGGGGTCACAGTGGAGCCAAAATTCACCAGGACAGAAATGAGATTAGGAGAGGAGGGGTCTTCACTGTCTTTGTTGACTCCTTTTAAAAGTCTGTTACTTGAGTAACGCTTATTGCAGTTGGTATGTAAAGTATCTAATTTTCAAACACAATAAAACTCTTTTTGAAATACTGCATATTTTAATTTATGTTTGTTTCATTGGGTTTTATTTATTTTTGATATTTGAAAATATTTTTTCAAATAATATTTTCAGATCACAATTTCATTGTCCAATTCCTCCCTGACCTTTACTATCTCCTTACCACTCAATCCCACAATCTATCTTCATCTATATAAAAAGCAACCACACAGACAAAAAAGAAAACGATAAAACACCACACACACACACACACGCACACACACACACACACACACACACACATACATGAAACACTCAGAGGCAACCTCCTGTTGAAACAAATATTGTTTCTCCATGAAGAAGGATATAAATTCTCCTAATTTAGGAGCTTTGGAAATATCCAATCACAATCATTACCAACACCTGAACCTATTTTGTCACCAGGAGACCCAAATATCTCAGGATCGAGTTCTGTTTGCAGATTGAGAGACTAGACCTTGATTTTTCTACAGTGTCTTCACAGGTCTCAGGAATGGCTACTTCCTCAGATGGGATGAGGATTTTGTTCTTAGCATGATGCTGCCTGACCCAGATATCCACTACCTCCTTCTCCAACTGGACCAGGTGCTTATCTAAAAAGTAAGCTGCCAAAGAATATACAAATCATGTGACTCTTTGGAGGTAAATACAGGGATGTCCACACTACCAGCAATATAAGATCAGAGCTGTCTCCATAGTCACTGAGCATACTGGTCTCACCATGGCATGGAGCTGTGTCACCTTGTTCCTGATGTCAGTAATTACAGGTAAGGGATTTCCAGTTCCAAACATGAGGACATGACAGGAACTAAGGTAACAATGATATACACTCTGCATTCCTCTCAGCAGGTGTTTATTCCCAAGTCCAACTGCAGCAGTCTGGTCCTGAACTAGGGAAACCTGGGGCCTTGGTGAAGTTGTCCTGCAAGGCTTCAGGCTACAACTTTGCTAGCTATCATATACACTGCATGAAACAGAAGTCTGGACAGTGCATAGAGTGGATAGGACATGTTTATCCTGAAAATGGTGGTATTGGCTACAATCAGAAGTTCCAGGGCAAGGCCAAACTGACTATAGACAAATCCTCCAGCACAGCCTACATGGAGCTCAGCAGCCTGACATCTGAGGACTCTGCAGTCTATTACTGTGCAAGAGACATATAGTGTTGCAACCACAACCTAAGTTTGTCAGAAACACTGCAGGAGCAGAAGCTGCCCTGGGACTGAGAAGACAGAGAAGATCAGCCTGGAGATTGACTCAAGAATAGTCATTCTGAGTGTCCCTTTGTCTGCCACTTCAAAGTCCTACCAATCTCTCAAAATTGCTACTGTGCATGAAGTGATGCTGATTTACGATGCCGTATTTCACAAAATACCTTAACAATCTCTTCACCAGTGACCGCATCTATTTTCACATTTCTTCATTAATAAAGCAATAAAAGTGAAAATTGTGATTGTGCATTACATTAAAACTATCTCTGGATTCCTTGAGACTGGCACCTTTATTGGTATAGCTTTTAAAATCTGAATTTGACCAGTAAGTCCAAATAATAACATCTGGGAAAACAGAAATCTTTTCACAGGCTGAAATTTCACATGATTTCAGGGATATCATTAACTCTGTCTGTGTGGTCCAGCAGAAGCTCCCGTCTCTTATAATGTGAGATATGTATTAAGGTGCACTGTCACACAAGTACAATTCCTGCAAGTTGTCCAACAGTATTTTAAAATTACTTCTCACAAAAAATGTTTTTCAAATCAACGTATGTATATGTTCATTGAGGTAGGTTCTTAGACCATACATTAATCCCTGATCCCATATTTACTTCCTTCTCTGTGTCACTGACATACTCCACAGTCTCATGCCATTACAGATCATGGACCTGTATTAATATACCATCGACTCCCAGAGGTCATTGAATACACGGTTGTCACCTTTGTTCTACAGAGTGTTTGAATTTTGTCCTGGAGGAGTCCTTGTAGACACTGTAAATCAATTGTGCTCTCTATAAGTTCAGTTCATCATCAGTGGTCACTGCTACAGCTAGATTCAACATCAGCAACATACAGACTTAGTTTCATAGATCTGGAAAACAAGTAAGGCAGAGCTCACCCTTTATCCTTGGAATATCTACTCAACAGAACTTTAGATGATGAAGACAAAAGGAAGAGCTATAGTTTGCACACCATGTTGAGTCCATAGATAAACTTTTTTCAATTAAATTATAAACAAGTTTGCTTCACATGTCAATCCTAGCTCCCTCTCCCTCCCCTCCTTTCCAGTCTCCCTTCAGCCCTCCCCCAAACCCTTCTTCAATTCCCACTCCACTCTTCAAGGAGAGTGAGGCCCTTTTTGAGGTATCTCGAAAGTCTGTCATATGATCTGGGGCAGAGCATAGGCACTCCCCCATGTGTCCAGGTGGAGACATCATCCCTCCATGTGGGATGGATCCACAAAGTCCATCTGGATAACAGGGCTAAATGCTGATTATTGCCTGAGGCCCCAAAGGATGTTGTGGCCTGCTAACTGACACCCACGTTCAGGGTGTCTGGATCAGTCCCATGCTCTCCTTTCAGCTATTAGTCTGGGGTCTATGAGCTCTCCCTTGCTCAGGTCAGCTGATTCTGTGGTTTTCACACAACAAGCCATTTGCTCATCATTCCCCCCCTCCCTTCTTCTGACGGGTTTCCAGGAGTTCAGTTCAGTGTTGAGCTGTGGTTGTTTGCCTCTGCTTCCTTCAGCCATTGGATGAAGGTTCTAGGATGGCACAAAAGGAAGTCGTCAATCATGTTATAGGGAAGGGTATTTAAGGTAGTCTCTCCACTGTTGTTTAGATTGCCAGTTGATGTCATCCTTGTAGACCCCTGGACAAATCGCTTGCACCAGAACTCTCTTCAAACCTATGAAGACTCCTTCTATTATGGTATCTCTCATCCTTCTCTCCTCTATTCTTCCCCCTACTCAACTTTCCTGCTCCCCCATGTCCTCCTCTCTCCTCCTCTTTACCCCCTCTTTCTCACTGCTTCCTCCCCCCTCTACCTGTACTCCCAAACCCTTCAGAAGATTCTGTCTTGTTCCCCTTCTCTGGGTTACCTTGCATAACTCTCTTACGGTCCTCCCTGTTTCCCATATTTTCTGGTTGTGTATTGTAGGCTGGCACTCCCGTTTCAGGACTAAAATCCAAATATGAGTACATACAATGTTTGCTTTTTGTGACTGGATTATCTCACTCAGGATGGTTTCTTCTAGTGCCATCCATTTCCCAGCAAATTTCAAGATTCCATTTTTTTCCACTGAGTAGTACTCCATTTTGTAAATGTACCACATTATTTATCCACTCTTCAGTTGATGGATATCTAGGTTGCTTCCAGGTTCAGACTATTACAAATAGTGCTGTTATGAACACAGTGAAACAGATGACCTTGTTTTATGCATGTGTATCTTTTGGGTATATTCCTAAGGGTGGAATTGCTGCATCTTGTGGTAGACTGATTACCAATTTACTAAGGAATCTCCACACTGATATCCAAAGTGGATGTATGAACTGGCACTCCCACCAGCAGTGGAGGAGTGTTCCCCAATCTCCACATCCTCTCCAGCATAAATTGCATAGACAAACTTTTAACAGTGGATTTTTTCAAACCAGAAGGCAGCACTGTAGATCCACCTGTTCCTAAGAAGTAAATGATACCAGAAGCTGATCAGGAAGTCATGCACTGAGGGCTGTCCCTCTGTGGATTTCATTGCTAAGACCATTGCATTCAGAGCACATGGTATAGCTGAAATGTGAGATCTCTATTCTAGAACCATTGAGAGCTTCTTTGTTTGATAAAACCAATATATGTGGTCAGATGGGAATATTTGAGCCAAACTGGTATCATATTGCCACTGGATAGGAAATTATGTTATGAACCGTCCATTAGTACAGGTTAAGGATATCTAGGCCTCAGGGTAGTGGGAAACATTTTGGGGAAATTGTCACAAGTATATTCAGCTGATACTTCAGGAGTTTCCATAGTTCTTCTGATCACTGGTATGGAATCAGCAACAGCAGTCTCCAATATTCTATGAATATTCTATGTAGTGTCTGTGGTTTCTATTTCCTTCTCATTGTAATATGTGTTTTATATTTGTTAACTGCTCTGTGAGTACCAAGGTGCTGCCTCCTCATACTCTTAAATCTGATATCTGAATGTGTCATACATGGATACAGGGGCTACAGCAGAGCTGAAGACCTACTGTGTTTCTCTTAGCTCAGCAGCTCTTCCCCAGGCATAACCTGATGAAGATATCAATTCTCTGATCTATTCTATTTTCATTTTACTCTATTGGGAACTGCTAGAAATGGTTCCTACTGATATTTTGGAAGAGACTAGCTTAGAGAAGGACATTGATAGTAACATTGACACAACATGAAATCCATCTCTGAAACATTTAGTAAGCACCTCCAAGTAAACAAATATATTTATTCCTGAAATTGAATTCTGTGAGCTCTGAAGTTTTAGGGTTTTGTTCCTGATCAAAACAGACAGTGTAGTTTCAGTGTAAGCCACAACAAGTCAACCTACAGGGGTGCTCAGAACCAGCAGGGGCACAATGTAGCCAGGAATTCTAGTAGAGAAACGAGATAGGTGTGTGTGGGGGACCTTTGTATCCTCTATGGTTTCTTTTCTTAAAGTCTGTAAGCTGAACTGCACCTGTTTTCATTGATGTGTGACATTCCCATGCTCCAACTCAGAAGATTCTTTGTTAAACATGTTACAGGTTTGTATATTCTTGTTTATTTTAATCTTTTCTCATTTGCTTTTCATAATGTTTCTGAAGAAAACTAATACAATTTACTGTGATCATTGATTGTCCTTTTCCAACTCCTTCTAGATTCCTCCTACCTCCACATTCACTGAACACCACACCATTCATTTCTCTTTGTAGAAAGCAAAGAGTCCAAAAATGGGAGACTAAAATAAAAAAAGACTAAAAAAACTCATAATACGCACAACTATGGAACGATGCAATATAGGTAAAACAGCAGTAATGTGTGAAAGCCTGTGTCCATGCTCCTCTATCACCACTGGGACCCTAGCTGGCTGGACTTCACTCAGGGCTCTGAGCAGGCTTTTACAGTCTCTGTGAGTTCACATGTGCAGCTATCAATCCTGATTTGTCTAGAATCCACTTTCCTTGAAGTCATCCACAACTTCTGGCTCTTACAATCTATTCAATTTTAAAATTCTTTCTTTAAAATAAGACTTATTTATGGAGTTATTTTGAGGAAGTAAGAGTAATGCAATACCTCACAGTATTCTCATCACGTGTGCGGCTCCTCTGACCATTACCTCATAGGGAGTTATCACATGCTCAGCAGAGTGGTGTTCAGTTCAAATTTCAGGTGTTCAGTGAGCAGCACTGTCTTCCCATGTACCTACCACTGTTCAAAGACTTAGAAGTTAATATAAAATGCAAATCTCGTCCATGTTCTTTCAACTCATCCTTCTATAGACAAGGAGCTCACATAACTATAGATCATAATCAGAGCCACTACAGGGACAATACTAATAATAAATCACCAGTTTATCTACAACTCACTAATTTTTATACAATTTTCTTAATTATATGATTTTGACAGCAATAGTATATCATCATATCCATAGAAACACCCCAAAATCTGAACACAAATTTATTCTAATAATAAAAGAAGCTCACAACTACACAACTAGGCAATTATGAACTGTTCCTTATTTTCAGTATTTTGTTATATAAATAACATTATAATTTATGTTTCTCTTACTACATACTCCACTTTTGATCACTTACAGCATTTCTACTTTGATTTGTTTTGCCACGTGGATTCTAAATACTCTACAGGTATATGACTACTCATGCTTCAGCATCCTTATTTCAATATGGCCTTATAACATATATATGCATTTATTTTTATATATTAATTTATTCAAACTGCAGTTTTGCCTCTTCCCTCTCCTCCAAATCACTCCCTGTTATCTCCTGACCCACCATTCACTCCTCCATTTCTCTCCTGTGGAGGGCATTCCTCCCATAGATATCAACAAAACATGGCATGTCATGTTGATGACGCAGCTCAGTAAGCGTAAAAGGGTCCCAAAAGTCAGCAGAAGAGTCAGAGACAGCCCCCTGCTCCCACTTTTTACAAGTCCCACAAGAAGACCAACCT